CGCCTTGCTTCACCAACGAACTTGACGGGGAGTTCAAGCCGAGTTTATCATGCCAGTGCAGGGGGGTGGGCGGGATACGACGGGGGACGGCAGTCTGGGGACTTTGTAGGGTCAATTTGATAGGGTAGGGAAATTGACAGGACAATTGAGTGTGTATGATGGACGCAAAGATATTGACGGGAGAGGATGTGGTGCTGAGACGTCGTCTACTGTTGCGTTGACGAGGGAACGCTCTGGATGAGAATCGGCCCTAGTTAGAAGCNGGGACAGCAGTCTGGGGACTTTGTAGGGTCAATTTGATAGGGTAGGGAAATTGACAGGACAATTGAGTGTGTATGATGGACGCAAAGATATTGACGGGAGAGGATGTGGTGCTGAGACGTCGTCTACTGTTGCGTTGACGAGGGAACGCTCTGGATGAGAATCGGCCCTAGTTAGAAGCAAGTGACATCGGTAGGCCGTTTATCATGTTGTCTATGCAGCTGTTAAGGGTTATTCTCTTATCTTGTGTATCGTACAGGCTTTCAGTAGTGCGTCTATTACGGTGTCGTCGTTCTTCGCGATATTGCCATCCGTCACTGCCATCGCGAGGAGGCTTTACTTCGGAAGACCAGGCGGCTGCCCCACGCGGATGATCTCTCGTCTCCATGCACCTCTCATTCGTTGACGTTTGAAAAAGACAACCCAGGTATCGCAGACTAAATGCGTACCACCGTTGTGAGTGCTGATCCCCTGTAAGGCCAAAACCCAAGGCACAGACTGTCCCCATTCAAGAAGGCCGTGAGGCCGTGTACCTACATGGCGACCAGCATCCCCACCTGCCCGTCCCGAAAGTCGTCGTGTCCGAACAACGACCTCAGAGCCTCGCGTGCGCCCTCCATGCCTACCAAACCCTCAGCGCTGGCTCCTTCCGTCTTGCCAGGCGCTGCGCTTTCATGTCCGACTGCTAGCGTCCGTGTTGACACTACGGGTCTACCCCTGGTGTTGCCAGCGAGAGAGTGGGAGCGTGGTCTTCTTCGTCGAAGAAATGGGCGGCTGCTGCTGCTGGTGCCGGTGTTGCTACTGCTTCTTCGGCTGCCCGTAGCAGCACCTGGAGCGTTGCTGGCGATGGGTAATGCGCAGTTCAGTCGAGGATATCTCGCTGCTGCGAAGGCCACCACCCTGCCTTCCAGGCGACTGAGAATTGGTACCATCATCATGATACGTAACCGATGCGTGACCATGTCGACTCTACGACTCTGGTGCTTGTTCACTATGGCCCCTCTCTCTCTTGGTGTGCTATGATGTTTGGCACCGTAGCATCGCCGTAGCTGTCCAGTTCTGTTGGAGGCGGAGAAGTAGGGGCACGTCAACGTGAAAGGGTGCGTCGCCCCCGCCAAGCGCTGTCTGGGGACGATATTTTTCCTGGCACCAGGAATCAAAAAGGCTACGTTAGTTCACGTCGATCAAGTTTGGTGGTTTGCCCCCACAAGGCTAATCACTTCTCGAGGTCTGACTCACCAGGGTGATATTATGGTAGTAGTATTTTCGTTACTCAATATTATTTGTGCTGTTATGCATATAT